AAATAGCATAGATATACAGCTACTTTCTCTTAGTTCAATGAGAAGAAAGATGTATCATTAGATAAGAGATATATGCATCTTGAACTGTGAATACTATGAAGACAGTATACAATGTATTAATAATTGTAACTGTCCTAACCTGTTTTGAGACTGTCTCATTGCTATTTCTTTCTCATTAAAATTAATAAAAACAATTTTTCTTAAAGTTCAAGGCCACTCTGGGTAATTTAGCAAGATCATGTCTTAAATTAAAGCCTGGCATGGTGGCACACATCATCCCAACACTGTAGGAGATAAAGATATTAGGACTACAAATTCAGACTCAGTCTGGGCAAGTTGGCAACTTAGTAAGACCTTCTTTCACAAAAAAATAAAAATAAAAATAATTTTTAAAGCACTGGGAATGTAGGGTGCTAAGACTCTAAATTTGATTCCCAGTACTACAAAACAGATAATTAATTAAAAGTAAAGCCCAGACATGTTGGTACACCCCGATAATCCCAGCACTTGCGGGTATAGCGGGAAAAATCTTGAGTTCAAGTCCAGCATGGAATGTACAGTAGATCCTGTGTCAGAAAAGAAAAATAAGAGGATGAGAGGGAGAATAAGTGGAAGAGAGTAGATGTAGCTCAGTGTTAGAGTGCCTTTGCATTCTATATCCAGTACTGAAAAGCACAAGTTTCTATATATACATGAGTTATTTATGAGCTTTCTGTTCTCTTTTAGTGCTCTGGCTATCTTGGCACCCAGTACTAGAGTTTTTCTCTTTAGGTAGCCTGTGCCCTTCTGTACCCTGAGTGCACAATTTACTGTCGATCCACAGCACTCAAAATTTGGCAGAGCCTGTCTCCTTTCCTATGCTTCTATCATTTACTTGGTTCTTTAACTCCTGAAACTGGAAAGATTTTTGGAGAAACACTCTGATTCCAGTGGCCTTGAAAATGTGGATAGGTACATATAGACACAGATTTTTAAAATTATATACTCTTTTAGAGTTAGAAACATTAGGAGAGAATAAAAAAATCATTCAAAAATAAGGATAACTAAAACAAGTTCCACATGGTTGGAAGAATAACAGCGAAATTCAACAACAGTAAAGGAGTGAGAGTTGTAATCAACCAGTTAGTAGAAAGCCACTGGACTTGTGTTATCATGGTATGTCAAAGTTGCTACAAGGATTTTTTTTGTCCTCCCATTGTGCTAATACATGTGTGTATTTATAAGCATTGAAATTCTTGAATATGTAGAAATCTTGGTGCTCTGTTTTCTTGCACACCATAGGACAGCAGTGGTGCATGTAGTTGGCAGAATGTAGCACTTAAACCATTCCAGTGATGACCTGCCTGTCCCAAGTACTGTCTCAGTAAGGAGGGAGGGCAATACAGATAGCTTCCAAAGCCTGCTAACATCCATAGATCTTAGCACAAAGTGACCTGCCCTTTGCCACATATCTCCCTTATTTTCCCCACACTGGGACTAAATGAAGTGTAGGAGTGGATCCAGAGTTACAAGACTTGACATTTTTTTAACATATGCGAATCTGATTTATTTCGCTTACAAGTATGGTCGCAAGTTGCATTCATGTACCTATAAAAGTCTCGAGTATATCCTTCTTTATGTCTGAGTAGTATGCCATTGTACAAAAACATCTCTTTATCCATTCCTCCACTGATGGACATTTGAGTTGTTTCCAAGATTTAGCTATTATAAATTGTACTGCCATCAACATATATGCACATGTATCTGTGGTTTGACATTTTAATTCTACTGGGAAGATATCCAGGAAGGGAATAACTGGGTTGAATGGGACCTCCTTACTGATTTCCAAAGTGTTTGTGCCAGTCTACATTCCCACCAACAGTGAAGAAGGGTTTTTTCTTTTCTTCCCCACATCCCTTCTGGTATTTTTTTTATTGGTTGATTTCTTAATGATAGCCATTTTTTCTGAAGTGAAATAAAGTCTCACTGTTGTTTTAATTTGCATCCCTGAATGACAAATGAGGCTGAATATTTTTCATATATTTATTTGCCACTTGTATTTCTTCATCTGAGAAGTGCGTATTCATCTTAGATGTCCATTTTTGGATTGGGTCTTTGAATTTGGGGGATCGATTTTTTTTTTAATTTTATTGAGAAGACCTGACATTTATACAAGGTTAGAGGTATCTAAAACTGACACAAACATTTCTGTGTATTTAAGACGAGAAGAAAAGTCACAATATATGTCTGGTGACTCAGGCCTCTTTCAGAAGACTCAGGTGCTTCCTAAGTTCTCAGGCTTAAGGGAAAAGACTTCCTGACTACATCCTGGGCCAGTCCACAATAGTGTATCATCACTCATGTGGCCGCAGCGCTCAGGCATGACCACCTGCCAATGAGGGTATGAAAGCTGTGAACTTACTGATACTTCCTCCCCTCATTGGTCTCCTAACTACTGTGTCCTAATTCAAAAATTGAAATAAATCTGTGTAGTTGGCTGTTCTCAAAATGAACCATGTTTGCCTGTAGTAACTGTACTTAGTCCAGGACTTAACATGCCACTGCATATGTGGCCGGCAGTGTGCTAGATGCTTTGCACTTAGTCCTCCTGCAGAGTGGATAATCTGGGTAAAATGCTGTTTTATCCAATTTAAGAAGAATAAACTGAAGTGCATGGAGGTAAAGGAGCTACCTAAGACACAACTCAAAGAAGTAGGACTGGGATGGGAACTGATATTGGCAAAAAAATTTTCCAGAGTCTCAGTTAAAGGTATATATAGTCTGGGAAATAATGAGCCACTTGAAAAGTAAAGTTAGAATTTTTTCTTTGATTCTTCAGATAACACAGAAGAGATGATTTATTGTACATGCTTTACACTTAGCCAAAAGCAAGAACAGAAGTAGTCCAGAATGCCACAGGCCCAGGGCAAAAAAACAGGAGACTGCCTAGTTTGAACCAGGTAGATCTCTCTTTGAGGTGGTCTTGGCAATCAGATGGCAATGAAGTTCTAATCCATTGAGACATTCTAGACAGCATACAGTCCAAAACTTGCAGCAGCATTTCAGCCTCCAGCATTCTTTATTTCTGTTCTTTTGGTCTCCATGGATGTACAAGCTATTTTACTTGGACCTCTGTCTCATCTTTCTTTACACTTCAGTCTGTGCATTTGCTTCTCCCTCCACTTGGCTCTCATGACGCAGAAGTTTCTAAGAAGATGGCATTAAAGTCAAGAGCAAAGTTAGAATTTTAGCTGGCATGGTAGCCCATGCCTGTAATATCAGCTGAGGCAGAAGTATTGCCTCAAGTTTGAGGCCAGCCTGCACTACCTACCAAGACTCTGTTTCCAAAAAACAAAGAAACAAATTTAAACTATAGCCTCAACATTGTACAGTAAACATTAAGTAACACATGACTTGTGTTCTATTTTATCAGGGCATGTTGTCAAACTGGCCTCTTAAATTGGTAGTTTTTTTATATTAGACTATTTGGCTTGTTTTGTTTTGTTTGTCGTACCAGGGATTGTACTCAGGACCTTGCACTTATCAGGTATGTGCTTATTTTACTAAGCTATCTCCCTGCCCCTTGGTATATATTTAGAGCTCTTTATAGTGTTCATATTCTCAATGTTAGGATAGTTGTTGATATGCTTTAAGATGTAGAAGGTACTGATCAAATTTTTATGGGAGATCTATTGTGAGCCTGGTTGTAATTGTTTATATTACCTAAATTGTGAAATTATTAGATTAATCATGCCTTTTTGAAAAGTGGTAGGCAGTTTTCCCAAGTGATTTCTACTTTTAATATTTTACTCAGAATTCGAGCTACTAAAAATGATGAATGAGATTCAGAGTACTTTAAAATGCCTGGGTCTTCTGGAACCTTATTTCTGGAAGAAGGGAGAACCTTGTGCAGTGAGAGGATCTGACACTATGTGGTATCGAGGCAAAGTAATCGAAGTTGTGGGCGGCACTATCAGGGTGAGTCTGAAATTCTTTTGCAACTATTTGGGTTGAATGCGAGAGCATTTAACAGTTTCTATTTAATCGTTCATTCATTTATTTATTTGGCACAGGGTCTTGCTACGAAGCTCAGACTCATAGTGAATGTCCTGTCCAGTTTTGGTAGCCAACATAGCACGCTCAGGGTTCTGGATTGAACTCAGGTACTTGCACTTGGCAGGCAGGCACTTAAACTGCACCGCCGATCTCCCCAGACCCTTGAACAGCTTTTAAAAGTCTTTACACATGGGCCACGGAGACAGTTCAGTGGTCTAAGCACCTGTATAGGCAAGTGCAAGGACTTAGGTTCAATCCCCAGTACTGCATGCTGTGCCAGGCTTGCTGAGATGGCCACCAAGACTGGGTGTGGTGGCACATGCTTGTAATCCCAGCATTGAGGAGACTAAAACTGGAGAATCACTACAACTCCGAGCTGTGTAGTGAGACCCTGTATCAAATACATTTAGAAAAAAAAAATCTTTACATGTGAAAGCATGGTTAAAAATAGGGTTGCGGGTCTGGGGAGATGGCTCAGTAGAATAAGTGCTTCCTTGGCAAGTGCAAGGGTCTGAGTTCAATCCCTGGTTCTGCAAAAAGAAAAAAAAATAGAGTTGGAGGAAAAGGGGAGGGAATGAAGATGTACCTCAGTGATATAATGCCCCAGGGTTTAATCCCTAACTGGAAAAAAAAAAAGCCAAAATAATCATTTGATCATACAGGAGGATCAGTCAAATGCACTTTACTTTTTTCAATAAGGATCTTAATTTTTATTTTCAAATACAGTTAGTAACCTGAATATTCCCATGTAGAGATTTGTCCAGTGATACCTAAGTTGTAATAAACTTAGTTGTACAATGTTTCTTATTTTCATATATTTTAAACAGCTCTGTAAAAGCTGGCGAGATAGCTTAGTGGACTAAACACCTGCTTAGGCAAATGCAGGGACTGGGGTTCGATCCCTGATACTGCATGCCACGCCAGCACCACCCCTGGACACACTGAGCTAGCAACCGAGTCCTGGCATGGTGGTGCACACCTGTAATCCCAGTGCTGGGGAGGCTGAAAGCAGGAGGATCACTTCAAGTCTGAGCTGCATAGTGAGACCTTGTACCGAAAAAGAAAAAAAAAAAAAAAGGCTCTTCAGTAAACTTGCTTAGGGCTCATCTATGTTTTTCAGAGTAAGGACTAGTTTACCTTTCCAGAACAGTAGGGTAGCACTCAAATTTCATTCAGAGTAAGTAAAAACAACCACATGCATTGAAAAATGAATATATAAAAATACCTGTATTTACTAAGTAAAGCAACAAATTTAATGACATTTCATCAGATTTCATTCATACTTTTTTTTTCATAATTTTATTGAGAAACAAATAGCAATGAGACAGTTTCAAAACAAATTGGTAGGACAGTTGCAATAATTAACACATTGCATACATTCTTCCTAGTGGTTAATTGCTGTACAAGATGCGGATATGATATCCTATTTACAAACACTATTAGAACAAATCCCTCTATTCATTAAGAAAATATAACTATATATCTGTCCTAAACATTTTGAATACACAGATACAAAATGGACATTCATCTGTATCCCCTTTTTTGTTCTGTTATTTGAATATTATAGGTGTGTTAATTCAGCAAAATATTCTAAAAGAGTCAAGTACTCCATAATAGTATTGGGTCTTGCGCTTCACTGGCAGTGTCAGAAATTGTTGACCTGCGTCCCCTACAGCTCAACATAACAGCATGGCTTTACTTCTAAGGAGAGTCACATGGAGAGAAAACATTCTCTCAGGCTTTCACAGAGAGTACATTGGCCAAGAGATGGCCGTGACTCATCCACATGGCTGACACTGACAAAGGTTCTACAAGCTGAGGTACAGGATCTCAGGATAAATCCTGAGGGGATTTCACTGACCTTCTCAGACCCAAAAGCTACAACTCTTGTTGCATAGGTCCTGCTTTACCTTGGTCTTAACCAACCAGCAGAAAAGTATAAAAACGAAATATAAGAAGTAAAGTCATTCATACTTTTAATTGGACATCTATCCTAGACACATTCTTTAACCTGGTATCTTTGAGATTATCTTTTATCACTTTAAAGTTTGTTTTAATTGAAGGGAGAGGACAGCTTTTGTTTCTACTTGGACAGGAGTTTCTTTACTGTTCATTGATGACACCAGTTAGTTACATGCATTTTAGGATTTTTCAGCTTCTTTCACATATGAGTATTCATACTTTATAGTTGGTTTATATCTATCCTAGACACAAATTATTTTTGTTTTAGTAAGTTTCAGTTTAGCTTTAGTGACCTGCCAACATCCCCCTGTCAGGAGGTAGTGATGTTGTAGTTCATATCCCAGCATCTGTTTTCTAAACATCAAAGTCTTATGATTTTGTTCTGAACTGTCAACTGGTCCCAGTAGAAATAAAATGATTTCAGATTTGTCTGAAGATTTAAATACCTTGATACTTACAGATTCAAAAATTTACATGAAGGTGGGTCACTTTTCATATTTTTTCCATTTGTAGTCTCAAATAATCTCTGCCCTTTTCTTCATTACAAAAGTGAGCTGAAACTCGGTACACATCAAATGATCACATTTCATGAGCTTTTCCTATATAGAGTCCAAACAAGTAAAATGACCTTCTAGAAACATTTATCTCATTGTCAGAGTATCTGTTTCACAGATTTATAAGTATTTACATAGTTTAATCATGACCTTTTATTATTCCCTATGGCCACATTACATTCTAAGTATACATAATGAATTTGTCATTCTTTAACCTGTTATCTTTCAGGGTCTACCCTTGAGCTGTGTTAAGAAGTAAACATTGGGCTGGGGAGGTGGCTAAGTTGAATATGCGCTTCCCTGGCAAGTGCAAGGGCCTGAGTTCAATCCCCGGTTCTGCAAAAAAAAAAAAAAAAAAAAAAAAAAAAAAAAAGCTTAAAAAGTTGATCCAAATATAAAATAGTGACTACCAGAGACTGGGAGAGGGAAGAATTGATATGTTTATTAGGCTAAGGCAAAGAGTATTTTGAAATTTTGTTTATAGGCTAATACAAGAAAATATTGGGCCAGCCAGATAGCTCAGCAGACTAAAGAGCCTGCTAGGCAGGCACAGGGACCAGGATTCCATCTGCTGTGTGCCATGCAGGCCTCACCTCCTGAGGCATGCTGAGACAGTGATTGAGACTGGGTGTTACCCTTAAGGCAGCCTGAGCCAGTCCCCCCAAAAAAATAAAAATAAAAAGGTGGTGCCACGCCCTGTGTGCTTGGTAGGCTGAAAACAAGAGAATCAGTCTGATCTGTGTAGTGAGACTGTGAAGACCCTGTACTAGATAAATAAAAAAAAAGAAAATGTTTTCACACTATGTAATATGGGATAGAATGTTCCCTTTTTCTGGAAAATTTTTAAATCAAAAATTATCTTTTTCTGGCCAGAGAGATAGCTCAGTAGAATAAGTGCTTGCCTGGCAAGTGCAAGGACCTGAGTTCAATCCCCAGTTCTACAAAAAAAAAAAAATAAAAAAAGATCTTTGTGAGACTTCTCCCCCTGTCCCTCTTTGTCAGTACTGAGATTGAATCCAAGGCCTTCATACTGAGCTACATCCTGACCCTTTTTAAAAGTGTTTTATTTGGAAACAAGGTATCATAAGTTACCCAGGTGGGGCCTAGCCATGCACCACCATTCCTATCTCCCCTAGCTTTTGAGTAAATAATACATTTTAACCATAAATTTTATTTGTATTGTTTCAGGTACAATATTTAGATCATGGATTCACTGAAAAGATTCCACAGTGTCACCTTTACCCCATTTTGCTATATCCTGATACACCCCAGTTTTGTATTCCTTGTCAACTGTATCATACTATACCAGTGAGTACATAATGTGTGGGATGATTAATTTGAAATATTGTTCTAAATTTTTTATTTTAAATTAACTTTTTAACTATAAGGTTAAATCTCTCCATTGCAACAAAAATAGTACTGGCAAACCAGTTTTATTAAACAGCTAAAGGGCTTTCATAAAGAAAACTACAAAATTATGGTAAGATATATAAAATATCTAAGTAAATAAAGCAATATAATCTCATAGATGAAATGGTATAAAATTGTAAACTTTGAGTTGGGAGTCTTACTACGCAGTTCAGGCTGGCCTTGAACTCATGACAGTCGTACTGCCTCGGCCTCTCAAGTCCTGGGATTGTAAGTGTGCACCACCAGACCCAATTTAAGATTGTAAAATTTGAATCTTAAAATCAGATTAAAGAAGGGCCGGCCAAATAGCCCAGCAATGGCTGAGGAGATGGCTCATTAGAGTAAGTGCTAGGTCCTGAGTTCAATCCTCAGTATTGTGCCAAAAAAAAAAAAAAAAAAGCTCAGCAGATTGAAGCATCTGCAAGTAGGCACAGGGGCTGGGGGTTTGATCCCTGGGCGTGCCGTGCCGGCCCTGACCCCAGGGCACGCTGAGACAGCGTTTGAGACTGGGCCTGATGGCACACGCCTGTAATCTCAGCTCTTGGGAGTCTGTAAACAGGCGGATCATTACAAGTCCTATCTAGTAGGGAGACCCTGAACACCCTGTAGACCCTTCCCTAAAAATACAAAAAAAGGGCTGAGGAGATAGCTCAGTAGAATAAGCGCTTGCCTAGCAAGCATAAGGTCCTGAGTTCAATCCCCAGTACCACAAAAAAAAAAAAAATTGTATCAAATTAAGTGCTATATTAATGATCTCTTGTTGCATAACAAAGCAAAAACTTAGTGGCAAAAAGTGAATTTATGCCATACTGTTTCTGTGGCTCTAGAATTGAGTAATTTAGCTAGCTTGTCTGGTCTCAAAACCCTTGTGATACTGTACTCAAAATATCCACTATACTGTACCTATCCAAAGGACCTTCTGGGCACAGAAGAGCCACCTGAAGATGGCTCTTCACATAGCCCCACATCCCAATAAGTATGTGCCAGAGGTACTGGGGAGGCAGTGCACACACACATTAGCCATTTTAAATGTGACCTTTGTTTTTGGTGTAAATACATGTTTTAAAGCATAAAATATTTATAGTACTATAGAGAAAAACTTGGCCAAATTATTAATTTTCAAGGTCTACTTTAATCATATACTCATGATATCTTCTGTACTGTCTCACTTTGCAAATGTAAAAGATTCTGAGTGTGTCAATCCCACACAGGTTGGGAATGTGTGGCAGCCAGATGCAATTGAACTTCTTCAGGAGCTGCTTTCAAAGAGAGAAGTGGACATTCACATTATGGTAATTTACCTTCAAACTGTAGATGGTTAATTTAAATTTTTTGCCATAAAATATAATTAACATAATTTGAGGAAGTTGGGCATGGTCAGACACATCTGTAATTCCAGCACTCAGGAGGCTAAGACAGGTGGATCGCCATGAATTCAATGCCAGCCTGCACTACAGTGTGAGACTCTATCTGAGAAATCCAAATAACAAATCAAGGGTTGTTATTATTATGATAAATAGTGTTATATGTGTTCTTATGTGAACAGAAATTACTTAGTAACATACAAGAAGTTACCACATTGGTTCCTAGGCTTGTCTTTTCTTTATATTTTTTAATTTGAAGATATTTCCTCCATTTTACTTATGTAGCAGAAATCTGCATGGCATAGTATATCTTTGGGGGGAAAGAGCAATAGAAGTTATTAAGAAAATAGATACTCTTTCTAAACTTTGTCAGGAATAAGAAGGTGCCACTGATTAGCTGATAGCTGATTTTGAGTTGTTTATTTCAGTATTTGATCTTATTAAACTTTTTTCCAGATGATATCACTTCAAATCATTGTGGCTTACAGACCACAAACAAGACACACAGTATTTCATCGTAAAGAGATCATTCACAGTATATGTTGGTAATGCAGATTCTTTGTTCACCTCTTACCTGGAATCTGTACTGTAGAACAGCATTTTTTATATCCTCATAGCTCAATTCTGTGAATAGTTCATTTGCCAAATTTTCGAAGTGGTACAGCAGAGGACCAAGATTTATCCAAATTCCACCTGGCTTGAGTATTTTCCACAGTGTGTCAGTATAATCAATTATATCATGAGCTGTGTCTATGAAGAAACAGGTGGCAATACAACCCCAAGTATAACATTCTGAGTGAATCTCCAGAAAATCTCCTGCTGTCTTAGAAAAGTTAGAGCCTAGAGGAAGACTGTACAGCTCAATATCTGGGAAAAAGATGGGTCGAATCTGGTCAGCTGATTTCTGGTTATTGCTAAACTGATGGATCCAGGGATTAAGTGTCTATTTATTTCAGAACATCTGTTTAGTACAAAGGAAGAAGAGAACATAAAACTCCCATTCATTTCCTTGACAAGCATTACCTAGCATAGCTATTTCCCAGGCCAGTCTTCCTAGTCCAGCTCCAGGTACTAGAGTATTGACTTTAAATGGATCCATCTTTCTTTTGGAATTTTATTTAATTTCTGTAATGATTGGCTGGTAGCAGGCATCCCTTTATGCTTTCCCAGTTTCACTCGTCTCACAAACTGGTTCAAGGTGGATTTTAACTTACCCATGTCAAATGTAGAAGCTGGCATAATCTTTTCAGTGCATTATGTCTAGTAAACTCTTTCAGTCTGACAACACTGTTCCTCAGCATTGGTTTTCAAGGATGTTACACTCTTTCATCTCTAAATTGTAATGAGCTTTTAGAAGGAAGATCATAGAGAACACAACAGAAACTGCCAGTTGAAAGTCTCAGTTTATTTTAATGTATTAATTGTAATTAAAGCTGGGAAAATTAAAATTTTAAAATCATTAGCAGACAAAAATGCTTTTAATCGTGGTCCATATTATACCTGCTGGAAGAACTGTGCAAGTAATTGTAATTCCATATCTCTTTTTTTTTTTTTTAATTTTTATTTTGAAC